TAATTTTGAAAGCTGTTTAAACGTTCAATACTCCTTTTGATGAAATTTTCATGGCAATTCGTGATTTATTGCAGAAGAAAATGCAAATTAACTTTGATTGATTTTGACAGAACTTCGGATAATGTACAAAAACTGAAAATTTTTCAACATACAATAAAGATGTTAATTACGATAATCTCATTGACAAATTTTTTTCAGGATAATTTTGTTGTTAAGGTTATACATGATTTCTTTTATCATCTAAACCAGTTGGATATACATAATCACTTCATTTGTCTGTAACTCGTAGCATAATTATGGTGCCCATATAAAATGTACCAGTTTTCATTTTAAAAAATATTGTTTAAGGACGTATAGGACTTCTATTTTTCTAAATATACAGACACTTTAATCAAAACGATGAAATTGATGATGTCCTCGATGATAGTTATGGTGATGCTGATTATAAATATTCTTATAAGCGCTTATGCTGGATCCAATTTTCATCAGATGACATTAGCAAGGGATGCAGCGTTCGACAACTTCCTCCCTTTCCATGAACACTACATTTTGGTTACTGTTGAGAATACTACTCTCAAATCTTGCTTAAAAAACTGTTTTAAGCGTTTCCCGCTGTGTCATGGATTGTTGTATAACGATAAACTTAGAGTCTGCAAAGTGATGGCATGTTTGTTAAACAGGAGATTTCTTGAAAAGAGAGATGGATGGATATTTTTCGGGAATGAAGAAGGTATGATTTTAACCGCTTAATCGGTATGATTATGTCTGATGTTCTGAAGTTGGAAAAATACTTTGCTCATCAAAATGCAATTTTTCTTGTAATTATGTCCTCTAAATAACAGAGGATAGATATGGGCATAAATTTCAAGCACATTAGGAAAACATTACTAAGGAGTATTATAGGCTAATTCTTGTTCAAGATTAGAATTTTGTTTAGGAATTCTAAAAAAATTAAAAATGTTAGAGTTATCTCTCTTAGTTTAGGGTCAGTCCTTATGGACTCTCTATACAATGCACACTTAAGAGGTCTATGTTCACAGTATTTACAATGATCAACCTTAACAGAGGAAGTAAATATCGGCTTTTTTTGTTCAGCTTTCCAGTACCTTATATTTGTAGATTACAGTTTCCTCTCTTATTTACTATAGTTTTGAATTCAATTATTTAATTAGTTTCTCTGTTTCAGTTTGTGAGCCTGGGTGGTATCCTTTTGCAGGGCATTGTTATTACCCGAATAAAACAAAAGTGAAATGGAGTACAGCTAAGGTAAATTTTTGAATTTTGATATTATTGTGACAAAAAAGAAAAAAAAAAGAAAAAAAAAACGAATCCGCGATACAGAAGTGGATAAGGTCACAATACCTCATATCAACGACCAGTTCTGAAAATCCATATCACGTACGTAGCAGACCGGCTTTACAAAAATTTATCATAGAGGAAATAGCTTACTTCTTTATACTGTGTAGTGGTTTAGATTTCTATTTCATAGCCCTCGTTTCGTAAAATATATTTTGCAAGTATTTGTTGGTATTTCAGTCTGATAATTCTATTTACCTTATGTTTTCAGTTGTTACTTACATAAAACCCCTTTATTATTTGTCTTTTATAAGTTAGGACATGGGTTGGCATTCCACATGTTTTACTTTTTAAACAGGAAGTGTCATCCATGTTGGGAGTCTTTCCATAGTACTTTTGAAAGCTGTGTTCTGATTGGTTAAGTTAGTTGTAGGATCTTTGATGTTTATTGGCTTTTATTTTTGGGCCTATAGCTAGTGTATTTAAAGCCGTGTTCGTGTAGTTTTCTTCACTTGGGTTGGGGCACACAGCCTCATGGTTAGTTCCTCTTTACTGTGCTAAGAAAACCTAATGGTTTATGAGCACTATTTGATTAGTACCTTGGAGTGCTAAGAAAACCTCATGGTTTAACAGTATTCTAGGTCTTAGCTAGCTTTAGTTTCATGTTTTTCACAAGTTCTAGGCTTTTGTTAGGAAACAGTTAGGATGTAGGTTTTATGGAGATAATTTAGTTTTCCCCTTTCCAAGTCCAGCCTGGTCTAGGGATTTGTAGATAACAGGTATAATTTCTAGAACCACTATTTATCTATTTATTTATGGTGTTGTTTATTTTCTGGGTTAGATATTTTTAGAGTCCAGATTTAGCATTATTATTTTAAGTTCAACTCTAGAGTGTTGATTAGTTCATATTGGGTGATGTAGCTCATTTTCCTGACATTTTCCAGCTCATTGACATTTTCAGTTGTGCATATTTTTGCCCATTTTATTTTCATAAGTATGGAGGCTCAGTAGGGACATAGATATTTTTATTTAAGCATCTTTCATTTTTCAAAGGGTTTCCATATTCCTCCCATTTTTCCTATTATTTTCACAAACTTCTTATTTATTTATTGAGATTATTGTTATTCACTTGCCAAATTAAATTATATTTTTGATAAAACTATATATTCCTGTGCAATTTTGAAAGACTTTATTCTCTGTTAAATTTTGATTATTATTTATTATTTGTTATCATTTGAAAAGGTTAATTCTCACTTTATTAAATTTATTAAACTTACAACTGTGTTTTCATTTAGCGTTGATCATAGTTCAGATATCCCCTTACCTGGGTTGACAAACATAACTGGAGATAGCTTACTGCTTTAAGCCAAGTTGGCTAGTAACTCTGTTAAGTTATTCATTAAAGAGTTCTACTTCCGGTTACAATTGTAATGTACATGCATTACTAAACATTTGTTGACTTAATAATTTTTTAAAATTAAAATGACCTACAAATTGCACTATTTTCTTTTGAGGAAAGAGGTGCACTAGCATTCTTTAATGACATAGTAATGCAAGCAATCGATTTATGAAATATATAAAATATTTTAAATATGTAATACTTAAAATTCATATCATATGTCAAAGAAAAAGGTACGGTTTCAATACAAATGTGGCCCTTTATTTTTCTAAAATATTAAAGTAATCTAAGAAATTAAAACTCATGCTTTCTGAAATGTTGCAACTCTATGCAATTAGACCAAACAAATCGTTTTTCTCGTTTGATCTCTTAAATGTTAATTGTGACGTCAGTTATCTGTGCATTTCCGGTATTTTCTTAAAAAGTTGCAGAAGACATCAATTTTCAGTGGAATTTTCTTTCAGATAATTTAGACCACATGCATCGCCCACAAAGATTTTGAGAAATGTGATTTTTCAAAGGATTTTATACAACAAATCTGAAAATTTAAGTGGGCGACGGCTGTGAACGTGGACACTTTTTTGTTTAGGAAATAACCCCAGAAATAAGTCATTTTGAAACTTTTTCCGTTTAAAACTTAGAAATATATCAAATCAATATCATATTGACATCAATTCCCAGAATGGTCTTCCACCATGCCATATTCATGTTTGATTACATTCATATACTAAAGATAAACTCCTACTTAAGCTCACTTTAAAACTTTTTGAAAACATTCTTTTTAGGGCACAATAAAGCCAATACTTTCTTCTTAGCACTCCATGCATTCTGCGAGTCGAAACCAAAAACCGCTGATTAATTTTAAGTCTGACCATGTAACACTAAATTTTGACCACCTACAGAACCACATACTCTAAGGAAAGAGAAAATAAAAGAAAATGGAAAATAAAAGACTAAAGTATTGTTACATATGTATAATCATTATTTAAAAATATTTCAGACCCAATGTACGAGTCAAAACTCCTATTTAGTGGAAGTGAGTTCAGAGGCAGAGAACAAATGGATATCAGAATCCTTTTTGTCTGAGACTGGTAAGGTCTATGGATATTTAATGTTGAAATAGGATAAATATATGTGGTAATATGATTTTGTTCCTTCTGAATCGTTTATTCAATGTTGTATGACCAGATCACTGTTCGAGATATCCCAAGTACTTATTTTTGGATCAAGGTTATTTCAGCTACGAGCCTTTTATTGAAATATGAAGATAACGAATATTAGTTGTATAATTCCACAGACAGAAGAAATTTTAATAATGTTAAATATACAACATTAATACTTATGACAGTTCACAGTATATTTCCTATGTATAGCTTATTAAACCCACCAATTGTTTATCTTTGATGTATTTTCTTGTAGGTAATGGCGTCAATTCATTACCTTACGCATGGCTCGGTGCGTCTAGAAGAAATGGAATCTTAACATGGCGACATAGCAACATCCCACTTTATAACCAATCATGGTTACCGGAACATTTTGATGGCAGAAAGAACTGCGTATTAATGAAACCAACAGGAATGTGGGTCGATTCTCGGTGCATATCAAACGTGCATATGCATCCCTTTGTTTGTGAGAAAATGATTTAAAAGCAAACTGATAGAGACGACTGAACTATGTCAACGACATATTTTAAAGATATTTATATTCCTTTGTAAAATTTTGATCACCCATAGTGGGACCACCTTAAACCCCTCCTCCCCTCCCCTCCGAACATATTTGGGCAATTCTGAATTTTCACTATGTATTAATGAGGCTTTCCCATAAGAGTCATCTTTTCTGACCCAGGGGTTCTTAAGATTTTTAAAAAATGTTATTAAAGTTTCACTATTTCCTAATTATCTCTACTTGACTGAGGGCATGGATTTAATTCCATTACCCAAGGATGCTCTGTGGCAAGTTTGGTTGAAATTGCCCCAGTGGTTTTTGAGAAAAACTCAAAATGTTAGAAGTTTACAGAAGGACAAACAAACGTCATACAAAATATGATCAGAAAAGCTCACCTGAGCTTTCAGCTCTGGTGAGCTAAAAATGAAAAAAAATCAAGGTTTTCATTGCAATCATTGCAATTTTTTGACACACTATTTTGTTAGCCAATTAGAATGGAAAATCGGAAAAAATTGCATTAAGAACACATTCATTAAAAAAATACTTAAGCAATATCTTTTTAGTTGTTATGATTAATTTTCAGTTTCAAGAATATAAAAATAACTGTTTTTTTTAAAATTTTCATTCATAATTATCCTCATTTCAAAAGGATGATCAAGCTCATAAATCCTGTATAGAATACAAATTGTCATGCAAAAACATGGAACTCTAGAGTCACCAGTAAGATACAACATTGTGCATTTGTAAATACATGTATTATGAACTTAATACTCCCTAAATATCAATTATAACATATGATTTTCTCTAACCATCAGTATATAGTGTAATCATTCATACAGCCAAACATGTACAATATATACTGGATATAAAATATGTAGTCAATTTGAGATCAGAATAATAGAAGAAAAGCTGAACATCTACTTTAATTCATAATGTTGAACTATTTTGACAATGCAATGTATAAACATGTAAACTATATAAAAAAAAAGAAATTATGCATTACCTACATTGCTTTACCTGAAAAAATGTTTATACAATAGTGATTAATGACTTTTAGTAAACATAGCAACATAAAAACAAGAGATCACACTGGTGTTCTGGGTGTTTGACATACTGCATTTAAAGTTCTTTAGCTATGTTATCTGATCTTTGTTTTTAAGTCCTACTTTCTAAGAGCCCTAAGATACCTTATTTTCCAAATGTAAGTAAACAGCATTGATTTCTGTTCACTGATACTTTAAATAACTTTTTATTTGTGAGAACTTTATTTTTGTACTATTTTTGAGGCAGCCTGCTTTTGAAAATTTCATTCTCTATTGTCATATGAAAGACTATGTTGAACAATAACAATAATTCAAGAAAATTTTATTTCATTGATACATTCAGTATCACTACCTCATAAAAATATGGTGTCGCGAAAATTTAGTGATCTACAGTTCTCCATTATCTTTTAACATTTTTCCTAGAGAAATTAGACCCGTTCCCTATGTTGAAAACTGCAGTGTAGATAAATCCAATATGTAGACATTTATATGATACAATTTTCTCAGTATCCGAATAACACTTTCCATTGTTGTTTAGAACTTATTTAGGAATCTATACATTTGTCATTGCTGGCTCAGTGGTTCTTGAGATTTTAAATGACTCAAACCTTTATCTCAGAATTTGTTGATAAACCCCATCCATGAAAATAATGTGACCATTTGAATATAATTGAGTCCCTATTATCCAACGATGTTGTGGTTGAAATGAAAAGAATAACTGTTGTAAAGGAGTCAAATACTGTGAAAGTTTTGCTACACAAAACTCTAAAACAATACTCGGATGACCTAATAGGCCTATCAAAGACCAGGATTTCATATGATTATAAATCCATTAAAATTACAAAAAAAAAATAAATAAATAAAATAAAAAAAAATAAAATCTAAAACATTTACAAATGTTTAGGAGAGAATCATGTAATTCTGCAAAAACCTTGCAAAACTATCATTACTTTATGAAAGGATTTAAGCTTAAGTTTTGCCTTTGCTTTTGTATGTTGAATGTAAAATATTTCTTCTGCAAATGTAACAATCCAAGTGTTGATTGTTTTTTGATACCGATTAATCAAAGTGCTCTGTTCCCAGTTGGCGAGCATTAGGAATAAGCAAACTCAACTCACAAAAAGCAAACAATACACCTCATGATTATTATGATCTTAAATGGTACCTAATTTAAGTTTAACTGATGTCCACGTCGAAGTAATTCATTTACTGACCAATGTTTCACTGGGGGGAAACCTGAAACACAGCATTTTAGTGAAGTTGAATATATATCCCATTTGCTTTGAACTAGATTTTTAAAATTTGATTTACATGTATCAAGCAAATCATCACTGGCTTTATCAAATCCGGAACAAAATAATTCATAATGTAACACCATCCAGAGAATAAGTACGGCATCATTAGTGAGACTTCTATGTTCTGGAAGATCCAAATTGAATAAGAAAATAGAATTGCTACAAAGCAAAGTATCCCTATCTGCATCATACAGCACTATTTCAAACTTTTCTGGAGAAATCACAATGTTTGGTACCATATGGTGGAAAAAGTTAGGATGTTTCTGTTTTTCAGTCAATGAAAATACAATTGTCTGAGCAAATGCTTCTGCCAGTGTGTCATTTGGTGATTTTTGTTTGAAATTTATTGTTGTTTGCCTGTAATCATCTTCATCCAGTCTATCTGAAAAACAGAAAAGGTATATGTCAATCTGGTTTCAGTTCACCATAAGAAAATTCAGTTTGATTTATGAAAACAAGAGGCCCATGGGCCACATTGCTCACCTGAGCAATTTGGTTAGGAAAAAGCAGAAATCAGTACAGTATTGTTGAAAAGTTCAATATATAAGTGGTCCACCAAACCTACCCCCAAGGGGGAGAGGGGGTGTCATGATTTGAAGAGACTTGAGTCCACACTAACTGAGGATGCTTCAATATTTCGTTGATTAATCATGGCTTTAGAAGATTTTGAAAGATATTTTTCCTATACTGGTAAGTTTGATCTTCTATTGTAGGCCCGCCCTACCCTGGGGGGTCATAATTTGAACAAAATTGAATTTACCCTACATTTTCCTATGAACAACTTTGATTCCCTGTTGTGGCCCCTCCCTATCCCCTGGAGTAATGATATGAACAAATTTGAATCTACACTACCTGAAGAGGTTCACCTTTCCTTGCCAAGTGTTTTTTAAAAAGATTCTTAAAAGACACCATTAATTTTTCACTAATTTGTAATTATTTCCCCTTGGGAGAAGGTGACTCGTCATTTGAGAAAAAACAAACAAACTTGAATCCCCTTCACCCAAGGATACTTTGTGGTAAGTTTGATTGAAATTGACCCAGTGAAAATGTGAAAAGCTTATAGACAGATGGACAGACAGACAGATGGATGGAAGCTTGACAAAATGTAATCAGAAAAGCTCACTTGAGTCTTCAGCTCAGGTGAGATCAAAATATAATGTACATTTCTTTTAGATTTCATGTTTATTTCTAAAAAAATTTCAATATGTGAACTGAATTTTTTATTCTCTTCTTGAAAATAATGAAATACCATCAAATTTGACTGGTTTGAATGAAATGTACAAAACATGTATAAATGAAAAAAAAAGGTAATCAAATATTATGAAGCTCACCTTGGCAACGTTTATTAGCAAAGCAAAATCATGAAAAAAATGCACTGACAGTGTGCATCCCTAGCATCTTCAATTCAATTTTGGTCACCAAAGGGCTTATATTTACTTGGGAATGAGCCTGCTGAAAACACTTTAATCTTGTCACTCAACCAGCAAATGTATGTCATGTCTGGTAGTGTGCTTTTCCTACAAATGTCCTCTATACAAGTTCAGGTTTTCAATAATTTGGTAATGGAACAGCTCCAAAAACTAAAACCTGGTCCATCACACAGTCATCTAGAAAATGAAGGTCAGATCCAGCATCTGAGGCAAGTCTGGTAGTGTGCAATCAGAGATGCATCAGGATTACAAGTTTTTTTCATGATATGGCTCAAAGTTATTTGGGAAAGGACCTGCTTGAAAAACTTTAACTTGGTCACTCATGCAGAAAATATTGGTTCTATCCGACATCAGAAAGTTGTCTGGTAGTGTGTGTTCCTACATGAAGATCTATATGTCATCCATACTAATTTGATACAAACAGAACTTAATATTTATTTAGGAGTGGGCTTTATCACAAAAACTTTAACCTGGTGATTCATCTCAGAAATGAAGCATATCTGGTAGGCATGCATTCCTAGTTGCATCAACCAGGTAAGCTTAGTTGACATAGGGGCTCATAGTTACTTTGGAATGGACTTGCTTCAAACTCTTAAACCTGGTCATTCATCTGGGAAATGTAGGTCAGCATCAAAAGCAAGTCCAGTAGTGTCCATCCCTTGATGCATCATCCATGTAAGTTTGGTCACCAGGGTGGAAATAATTACTAGGGATTGTACCTGCACCTAAATATTTAATCTGGTCATTCATTCACAAAATCTAGGTCATATCCAGCATCTGAAGCAAGTCTGGTTAGACACATCCCTAGGTGCATCAACTCTTTAAGTCTGGTCACCACTGAGCTACTAAGTATTAATTATTATGGAATAGACCTGCTCCTAAAACTTTAAACAGAAGTTGACACTAACACAGGGGATATATCATAAGCTCATCTTGACTTTGTCACGGTGAGATAAAAGTTATAATAATTAAATAAAGCAGATTTAATATTCACAGGAGGCACATGGGTCACCTGACTAACCTGAGTCACCTTGACCCTAGTGTTTTTCATCAGGTTTTCCCCTATTTATTTCCAAGAAAAATTTTGACCACATATTTTGGCTCCATCCCATTCCAGAGGGTCATGACAGATCTAAACCAGAATCCACACAACATGATAATGCCAGAGTTCCCAAAATGTACCGGTCCACCAATATCCCCGGTAAATTTTGAATGGGATTGGTCAAATGGGAATTTTATCAGTCAAAACGTCTGGCAGTTTATACAAACTTAATTAAAATCTTAACAAAATGATTTACTACAATTGTTGTTTTATTAATTGTAATAGAGAAATGTTTTCATAAAAGCCAAAAATAATAAATAAAAACCCCTTTTTCAATCTGAAATTGCCACATTTTACACAGACTATTTTCTATTTGAGCTAAAAAAAAAAATTGACACTAGCAACAGTAACAAGTAATTATGAGAAAAATAGGCCATCAGTATGCCATACTCTTCTCTGTGATTTACAAATACCTGATACTCTTAACCAGAGTTTTTCACCTTTTATTTTTATCTTAGATTCATAATTCTGGGTTTCCATGGATTTATAATGGCTACTTACCCTAAGATCCACATCTTCACAGACTACAGCCACAGTTAAAAAAAATTGTATAGGGAAACAAAAAGGGAAATGAAATAAATTATTCTGAACAATGTTTTTTTTTTTTACTTTTAAATTTTTTAATTAATTTTATGTACTTTTTTTAATCTTATACAAAAACATTAATGTCTGTTAATTTTACGATTGTCAAACTTCGTTTTCTCGAACTCAATGAGACCGAAAAAACTTCAAGATATCTTAGAACTTGAGATATCCAGGCTAAAATACTTAAAGAATAAGTGGTTCAGACTTCAAAATCACTTTGACATATCCAAGGTATTTGAGATATTGATCAGTGTTTTCAAAGTTCAACTGTATATAACTGCATTTGTAGTTTGATGTTTTTAAATCTAGAAATTTAAACTTAAATGCATATGTATTAAAATTCTAATTTAAAAAAACTGTAATCATTTTAGAAATTTAAATTGTTAAGCCTACAGGAATCTCTTTTCTGATGGAAATTGAAAGAGGGAAAAGCTAAAACATTAAACTGCAGTAATTACACCTAAATTTAATTGAAAATCCAAGCTTAAACATACAGGATATTGTGAAACGCATTTGAAGAAGAAATTCATATATATATCTTCATTGTCATTGTAATTTAACATGTATATTTATCATGCTTATGGAGAGTACATCATTTGAATGCATATTTGTCATTTATAATGTATGTTAATTCTGAATTGAACTAAATTTTAATCCAGAACCTTATATCAGTGCTTTGAAGCATTTGGTAAGAATCTTGGTGCAACAATTTTTTATTTAATTAAAGAAAGATAACAAGAGGTACAAATGTCCATATTAATGATTTGAGCCAAGGGATGAAGGATCCAGCCACTTAAATAAAATACAGGTCAGTTACAGCATTGGAGCATGCATCAAAAAATTTGTAGGAGGAGAACTTTGGAGAAGATACACCTTAATTGATGAAAAATAAAAAGATGCTGACTTCACCTATAAGTCAACATGCAACAAGCAGCGCACAGTAATGAACATACACTTGCATAAAGTGATTTCAGCATAACCTCCCCCTCTCAGCTTTGTTCTGGGAAAGGGGGGTATTATTTTGATCCTTACCATCCATTTCATCTAGTTTTCTTTTCTTAGGAGTATTTTCTTCTCTCTCTATCACAGTATTAGCTATTGCTGGTATTCCCTGGTGTGATAAGAAGATGATGTCCATAAATCCGTGCCACACTAGTTCGTGTCCTGTAAGACAAAGAGCTAAATACTATATATGCTAGAATGAGAAAATATACATACAGCTAAACTTCGAAATCTCGAACATGGATATCTCGAATACCCCGGATATGTCGAAGTAAGGCCGCGGTCCCGACAAAATTTGCTTTCTAAATGATTAAAATAAACCCCCCTATGTCGAACACGGTAATGTCAAATACCCCGGTTATCTCGAAGTAAAATTGTGTACCCATTCATTAAAATCACATGCGTTATCTCGAAGTCAGGATAATTTCCCGCTCTAATGATCAAGTCCGTTAGGTAAACTGAATGCTCTATTGATAACAGCCACCTGTCTGTCATGCACGGGTTACTCGTATTCCTGTGATCAACAGATAATAGCGCGATAATTATACGAGGTGTATGTATGGCTTACCTTGATTTTAATTATGCAAGCCAAAGGTTGTGTGTACTAGACTTATGCATACGCATGGATGACATGTTAATTGTTTTGTGGCTGGGGTACTTTATCTTGATAATAGCTAATATATTTAAGCATAGCTTATGCATATGAAAGCGAAAATTATAAACATCAAAGTAAAACAAAATTCTGTAATTTAATGCAATTAGAATTTATTTTTCCTATAAATTTACAATGCATAGACGATATCCGGTTATGTATACATGGGAAACGATGCAAGCGGTTGACTTGCAGGGTTGGTAGAAGGATTATACTTCTGTACATATTATACAAAGTTTTTATTTATTGAATTAAAAAGAGGATGTAAAAATCTTTTTAATGCTAAACACATGATTGTATATTAAAGAAATCGTAAACAAAATTTCAAACAAGAAGGAATTTTACTATTAAGTGCATGTTTACTGCACTAAGTATATTTGAAGTTCATTAGAATTATAACCCTCGATATGTCGAACCCCCGGATATCTCGAAGTTCATCAACGGTCCCGTCAACTTCGAGATAACGAAGTTTAACTGTAATTATACTTCAGGTCTGTAAGCCTTTCCACACTTAAATCATATAAATATCACATACTCATTAGAATTATAACCCTCGATATGTTGAACCCCCGGATATCTCGAAGTTCATCAACGGTCCCGTCAACTTCGAGATAACGAAGTTTAACTGTAATTATACTTCAGGTCTGTAAGCCTTTCCACACTTAAATCATATAAATATCACATACTGATACAATTAATTCTCATTTGACTCAAACTCAAGGGGACTGAGTTTAAACTTCAAGATATCGGAGGATTCTCAATAACAAGGTTAAAAAACATAGTGGTTGGACTGCCAAATCACTTGGACATATCCATGATATTACTGTTCAGTCAAAGTACTGAAAGTACTGGGAAGCGCTAAGCATATTGCAATTTGAAATTCATCAGAATTATTTTGAACTTAACTTGCCTGTTGTATTGAAATTTAAGCAAAATCTTGACAGTGCGGCTGCACTAGGGCGAGCACAGTTGTTTGATACATAATCAAACGTGTGAGTCATGAAAATTTCCCATTGGAATATGAAATTCAACATTGTCTTATGCCTTTTTATTTTAAGCATTTCACATTTTCTTCTGTCAAAAGATCAATCAATTTCACTTACATGAAATTGCAAGAAAATATTTCTCCGTTTCTTAAAAAAAAAATCAATATATGCAAATTGAATAGCAGATTTTTACTCCAAACAGCAATATATTTCTCAAACCTAATAAAAAAAGAAAAAAAAACATGTAAAAATATTTTCTTTCTCCATCTCCTTATAGGAGTAGATAAGAGGCAGCTTTGCGTATAAATCGCAATTTATTGGAGGGGGGATGGTCGACGAGTTTTCCGACCAAATCTAGACTATAAATGTAGCTATACATTTGCTGGAAAATGAATATTTCTAAATGATTTTGAATGCTTGAAAATGTTGCTGAAATTCCTCTCATTTATGTGCAACATCATTCTGGTGATAATTTTTAATAATAAATTCATTCTGTGTTTACGAGTGTTTAAAATTGAAGATTGGCTGTTAGTGACTGTGTTTTACTTTTAGAAACTGCACTCAGAAAATAAAGATATTATTTCTTTCTTGCATCAATAAATATTTCCTTATTGATAACATAATTATTTATTAAAGTTATGAATAAAACATCTAAAAAATACTAGTATTCTCACTAAATTGTTTTTAGTATATCTCTTTTTTTTATATTCATAAGTGATTTAAAAATTTACGATTTATAGAAATGATTTTAATAGAAATACATTAATGGAGTGTTAAGATATTTACACAATCACTACGAGTGTCCAGTATATATTAATGATAAATAAAACTTACACTATATATTACATTTTGTTTTGAATATGCTACAGCTGTGTTATACATTTTTAACCCTAAACATTCATGCAGCATATCGGCATCAAGTTTGTAACAACATCACCTATGTCAATGAAATGAACACCCGTAGAGTTAACGTCCTTTTGTCAGAGATAATTGGTAAATATACATTTTGAGTATAAAGATATTATATTTGTCTTCTTCATTTGATGATAAAACATTTGGTGCTATCCTTTTATCTCTGATTTTCATATACATGATTTATAATGTATTTGCAACAAAATTTGTCCTTACTGTTGATCTCACAATACATGCATCTGATTTGTGAATACTACTTTTTTAAAATAATTTTTTTTTTACTTTTCTTCTTCGGATTAATAATATGCCATTAAACCCCCAAAAGTATTTTTGGACTATTGTTGAAATACTTTAAAATGCTTCAGTATTGTTTACAGACATTTGATGCTTTACACCATTCTTTACTTGTTTATGTATATATGATTTTAACTACCACGCAAAACGTGTTTAGAGGAAAAAAATATCCACAGCACTGTTGTATTAGTTGAAAAGGAACACTGAAAATAATTGCCCTTAATTTTTCTGCTATTTCCATGATAAATAATAACAGCCCAAGAAAGAAAATACAGCATGTTAATCTCAAGTATTAATAAAACTTCATGAAGGTACACAACATTGTTTTATTCTATTTTTATGTAGTCCTCATTAAGTTGCTAAGCAGTCAAATCGGCAACACGCGCACATCTTTACATAAACTATTTCTTCCTAGTTTCCTAATACAAGTATTACACTGTTTACTTAAAATTTCATCGGCGCTATTCCTGTCCATCGCTAAGAACGTTTAATTAAGGTTTTGCATTTTTTGCCATATCTTGCACACTGCACACACAATTTTAAAGCGCAATATTCCGAGAAATTAGTGTTCCTATTTGAGTGGATTCATTCAAAACACAGCCATCACATGCCCTACATGTATGTACAGCCGCAAACTGCCTCTTTTTGCAAATAATTTACATCATATTTTTTACCCATATTACAAGTATAGAGTACAACACAAGTATAGACAGTCCATGAATGCATTCCAGTCTGTTACTAATTGATACTGAGATGCGAAAATCAAATTCATTGATAGCTCTCTGCTTGGTGCAAGGGTGATAATAGGAAGACTTGTTTTTAGTTACATTGCCTGAAATAAGGTCCTAGAAGAAACAATAGTTTATATGGATATGAGTTATATAGAATGTACATATGTAAGTACATTGTAAATCAATTTTATGCAAAATTTTCTACTAAATAACTCAATTCCAGTTTGAGTTTTAAATACTTATTAAAATCCCATCTGAGTTTTAAAAGTATGTACTTATTCAATCACTACATTACATGTACATGACATATAATAAACCTTTTTTAATTAATTATTTGCGCCATGGATGCAGCAATTGTTAGCTACATGGTACGCAAGTGATAAGTGCCAACACGATTTTAAATGAATTACAATGTATAGAGATAAGCCTGACAAAAACTGCCCTTATCTACTATCAGTGGATTTTCAATGTACATGCATAGCTTTACCTTACTAATTGACTCCTATTATTAGAACTGCACGTAACTCAGTATTACAAAAAGAGAGTCAGGGATTTCCAGTTGCATATTTTTAGAAAATCCAATGGAGTTATCTAACTATTTAAAAAAGATCAACTATAAGTATTAAGATTGGATAATATTTTTTTAAAAGGCCTAGTCCCATAATGACTTAATTTGACCACACTGAGGAAAATATGCATTTTCTTGTCTTATTCGTGTTATTCCTTAAAAATGATGTAGAAATTATAGAAGATTTCATTTTCTTCTTCATTTTTTTTTCATATACCCCTTTGTTTGTTTAACTCTAACATTATGTACATATTCATTTTGAAATTATGCTCTTTCCATTCCTGAATCTGTGCAGAAGGTCAATCATCAGTATCAGCTATGATGTGTCTGAGTAAATTCTGCCTTACCATTGTAAAGCATTTAAATAAAATAATAAAATTAAAATAATTAGCAAAATTTAGTTGCATTTCTGGAGGTAACTCAGATCATTTTTTGACACCCAAATCTGGGACAAAAACTGAATTTCTGTCATTGCAAAAACCTCTGGGTTATGTTTTTTGTGGGAGTGTGGGGAATGGGGGGATAATTAAAGCTTTAAATATAAAATATTTAAATTGTCTTGAATATGTTGAATCATTGTATACAATAAAAAAATGTTTTTTGTTGTAATCATGGTAATGGCACTCAAATAATACATCCGACGAACTTCAAGAAAAGAAAACAGTTGGTTTGTGACACATCAATTGTAAACATTTTTCTGTCCAAAATACCTCAATATGTAGTCAGTGTAATTATGATTCTGAAAATGTTAATTAACTTTTTTTTTAACTTTTTTGTCTCTTCCCTTCAGAGCATAAGCCTTCTACATTTTTAAGAAATTATCATATTAATTGTCAATCAGCAGTAGCATGTTGAAAATATTAGCTCCTCTGAAAAATATTGATGGCCATTTAACTTTAATTGTAATACCTATCGATTTTTTTCCCTATATAAAAATTAGATTGTCAAATGTGAATAATTCCTAAGAAATCGCTGTGAATGGATTTATCCCGTGTGTTAGTCAAGTGAGCTAATCCCTGCTCTGAGAGCAAATTCCCAGTTATTCGTAATCCTCTAATTTTTTTAAATATTAAATAAAACAGTTAAAAAGTATATCATTGAGGGAGTTAGCAAGATTCCAGTTCCCCTTGACCAGGACAATTTCCCTCGGCTTCACCTCTGGAAATAGTCCTGGCCTTGGGGAACTGGAATCTTGCTAACTCCTACAATGATATACTTTTACTGTATACTATTGACTGGCGAAGAGAGTTTTCCAACATTTTTTGGTGTTTTTGATTCTGATAAGTAGATAGATTTATTGTGACGTAATGATACCGTTGCGAAGTCAAAAACATAGGTAATCAAAGATTACGAAGCTCACCTCGATGAATGTTATCTATAAGTAATGCAAATTTCACATCATATTTTTTTTCCAGTTAGTGTACATCCAAAGATCAATATCCATGCAAGTTTGATTTAAGTAGGACTTATAGTTACTTGGAAATAGACCTGTTCAAAAACTTTTAACCTATTTACTACTCAAGAAAATTTTGGTCAGTTTAAAAATCCAAAGCAAGTCTGGAAGTTTTCATCCTTAGATGCACCATCTATACAAAGTTTATCATAACAGACCATAATATTATATAGCTACTCCAAAAAATTATCTTGGTCACTCATCTTCGAGGTGAGCTAAAAACATGGCGTCACAATAAAAAAAACAAACAGGTAACACAACCATGGATGACAATTTAAGATTCGCTAGCACTACAATCAAATTGTAGATAGTGCATGAAATACAAAATATTTGTTTCCAATGAGTTATGAAAGTAAATGAATGATTTAAAGCAATATATATATTATTGATTTGCTAAATGTTTTAGAGCAACTCATTTTGAATGTGGACCAACCCATGATGAATGCAAAATCTGCACAAATTAAAAAAAAAATGCTATATTTACATAATTTTACACTCAACTACAAAAAGAAAGAATTAAAATATCAATCAAACTGCAGATATTGCATGAGACACATATCAATTAAGGCCAAACAAAAAAATATGTGTGGTTCCAGTTACACTTCCAAAAAAATTAGGGTAGGTAGGTAGGGATTTTTTTTTTTTTTTTTTTTAATTTTTTTAACAAAATGATTTTCTTAATTTTTTCTAAATAATACCTATCACTGCTTTGCAAATGGCATTACAGTAAAACTTGTTGAATCCGGATGTTGTGCATTCCGGCATGTTGTTCAGTCCGGCGTAATATTTTAGTCCCTTGAATTTTCTTTATAATTCATGTTTAATAAATGTTGTGCAGTCCGGATCTTTGGTATTCTGTAAACCGGCCGCTATTTAAAGAACTTACCGCTCATAATTAGTACAAATTATCTCCTCTAATCCGGCCACTTATTTTTACCTGTGCCCGCTGGTCATTAGAGAAGTCTCGCGTGGGGTAAATATTGTCCCGTTAATGATCTATCCTGTATCGACAGTTTAGATTTTAACAAACGTGATAAAAAAATTATTAATGGCTCAAGTAAGGCGAGGAAACTCGCAAAAAGAATGAGTGATATTTATGGTTGCGTGTAGCATGTCTGTAGAAAAACTTGGAGACTTATTCATGACCTCCTTTCTACTTTCGTTTTGCGTGCACGACGTGCAATTCGAATTACTTCCCTTTGTGTCGCTAGTTTACAACGACAGAAGATTTTGGTTCAATATTCATTACATGTATAACATTTGAAATTAACAAATACAGTGTCTAAATATTCAAGCATATTAATTTTAAAAGAAAGAAATTAATTAGGAATCTGTCCCTAACAAAATAATATTTACAGCTACGATAAGGTTTTTGAGTGTATTTAAAACATTTAACGATTTTCAAATTTGATAAATGACCAAGAGATATTATATTTCGATACTGAATAAAAAACTTAAACAGAAATGAAAATTCTGAAGAACAAACAGTGTTCAAAACAAACGGAAATAGACGATTTTTTCAAGCAAAACGTAAAAAATGACAGATTTGATCAAGTATTTATTTATCATTCTTTGTTTATATCTATGTAATTTTTAACTTGCTATAACAGTTCAATTTTCTCCAATCCGGATGTTGCCTAATCCGGCCAAAAATTTTGGAACCACTGGTCGCCGGATTAGACAAGTTTTACTGTAATATGTGGTGTGATAATATACTAGTCAATATTGATAGGGGACACCTACATGCTAGCTTGCTTTGGATTTAACACTATTAAACACTTGCAATATGTTTTGCAAGGAGGCCGTCATTGCTGAAACTAAAACTTAAACTGGAGCCATTGATGGAAATCGGGGGAAATTCCGGAAAAATATGAAAATTGCCAAAAAAAGTTTAGGGTCGGGGGTATAAAATAGGGAAGGTCGGGTAACCGGAACCACACATATTTTTTTATTTGGCCTAAATTTAATATCTATATGAATTTGTTTCCAGGAATGCATTTGTGTACGTTGAATGTTAATGAATGATAACAAAATACTATTTTATTGATTCATTTGTTTTTTATACAAACAAAATTATTGGCTGGTTTTTTTTATGTAACAAAACAATTTTTGGGGCAACATTGATTATGTTATCCCCCTTTGGATGAAAATATTGCTCTCTGCTCTGTGTCAGGCAATATTTCATCCCTTGGGGTTTAACATTATCAATGATGTCTTCAACCCCAGTCATTATTTGTATAAATATTCTTCGAAGACTATATAATTTCTCCCTTTACTGTGAATTAATAATAGTCTTATTTCCAGATATTGCAACAAACATTTTAATATCAAGATGAAAATTGTGCCTATTACAAATCATTCTTTTTGTAAAATTCGAATGTGAAAAAAACCTGACTCACCACAATTTACTCTAGATTCATCTTACCTATTCCTGTGAAAGAAAATGTAAGTTCCTTTTGACATCCACACCTGCAGATGTTGCCTTTGGACATGCTGTTAAGTTGATAGGACTCCTTTGGGGCAAGTCTTCCTAAAAGATGCTCCGCAAGGCAGATGGTTACATCTGTTTCTGTGGTAGGGGGTTTTCCATCCTGACCCATGTCAAAGACCTTTTTCAAAGAGGCTTCATTTTGTTCTAAAGAATATAAAGTGATGTAAAACCTGAAGAATACAAAATATTGAATGTAGTGATGTCAAAACCTCATCAGAACCACGGGTTTCCTCTCACAGTCTGACTGTAAATAATAGCTATATGTAACAGTATTACAAAATTCCTATTGCACAGTAACAACCTGTATTGTTTTAGCTATTAGTAAAGGTCTTTGCTGTTTTTGATATAGATACATCTTTGTTAAGATGCCCTGGATATAACCAGGTCCAGTACAATCTCTTGATTTAGCTACAGTACCGACCAGACACAACCTAACAGAAAGCGAACTCAGAGCGCACCCCGGGTTCGCTTTCTGGGTTTGCTTTGGGTTCGCTTGGGGTTTGCTATAGCGAACCCGGAGCGAACCCGCAGCGGATCCCGAGCGAACCCGCAGCGGACCCAGAGCGAACGCCGAAAGCGAACCCAAAATTCAGTAGTGAACCCAGAGAGCGAACGCGCGTGCGGTGTTGCGTAACAGAGCTGTCAATCAGGATTAGCGATAAAACGTGTTAACCAATCAGCGGGTCGACCAATCAGCATGCCAGTTTGTCATTCGATGTAAATAAAACATTGTACAAGCAAAGCGTGTTAATGTACAGTGTGAAACTATTTTAACATTATCAAAAAAAAAATAAATTAATATATTTTAATTATCCAGGTAGCATATTATATTTACACATTTATTTATTTATTTTTCATTTTCAAAATCCATTAATATACATTGCGTAAATTTATCAGACAAAACATACCCTAATGTAAAAAAGAAATAAAAAAGAAAGCAATGGTTATTACAATTGTTACATAAAACAAAAAAAAAATGGTTTCTGATAAATTATAGCATTTCATCATCTCAAGATACTGTACAAGATTATGTATACCGGTATGTACGTGCTTTCATTCAATTATTTTATTTGTATAATTCTAATGTACATTTTCGTTTAAATCCAGATCAACATCAAAATAATTGATCTTCTTAATTGAAAATAAAAAAATGAATGTACAGCATAAATGTACATGTACAAATATGTCCAATCGCAAACTACTACATTATGGTACTAATTTGATTAATCTTTTACAAAAAATAATGTAAAGCTTGATTTAGCTTTTTTTTTTTTAAACTGAAATAAAAAGAAAAATGAAGCGCGATTTACATAATTGAACGAACTAATTATCGGAGTAACTAAGCAAAATAGTAAGTCGTACAATATTGTATTCTCTTAAAATATCGTAACTTTTACTGATAAAGCGTATTTAAGATGTTTAACGATTTTTCTCTGATGTTAACTGCTAATTGTAGTCATGGTATTTTTATATCAATACATCAAAAATGTATATTTAAAAAAAAAAAAAGAATGAAAAAAAAAAAAGAGGAAAAAAAAACCAAATCCCGATACTTACATATATTTAGTCGGCAAATGTACACGACATGATTGTCGGGGTTACTTTTCATCCCTGATACTTGTCATTATTATTTTTTTTATATATCATTTCTGCAAATGAATGATTTTTTAAAACAGATTGCTGATTTTTGAAATTCATAAATGGAAAGATGATTATAGTATAATTCATTTTTTAGGCCATTTTTAAAAATGTACCCCCTTACTGCATATCATAAAATCCAATTGAATCAAAATTCACGACCAACCTACATGTACATGTATATCATGTGATAGAAAATGCAGCATTCGATCATAAATTACATGTTTACATGTCAAAAACATAAAAAAAAACAATTTTCCTAAGTCTGAGATTTACAAAAATAATCATTTGTAATTTAAAATTACTATTAAGTCTTATTTACATGTAGTTTCAAAAATATTCATTTCTAGACTAAATATTTTATTTTTCTTTCAGTTTTATAAAGTCGATGAATTTCACCAGTAAATATTTCTAATCTTAAATATCTATTAAATAAATTAAGCCTTATTTCGTCTTAAAAATATTCACTCCTAAATATTTTTAACTATTTTGCGTACAAAAATTGTGCGTTTGCGGTAACAGTCGTGAATGATCATGTAACATGAAGAATCGTGTGATTGAAGGATTAATCTTGCGAAATCGTTCGTGTAACGTGATCGTTCCTTTATGTTGTCAACATAACGTTGCAGCCATTGTACATGCACATGTATCGATCGACTCAGAAACAACAATGGTCGATTTCACTACTGTATTTGGAATATACAAGGGGCGGGGCTTACTGGCGGCAAGATTAAAGCGGGGTCCGCTACACGCATGAGTGCGTAAAGCGAACCCAGAAAGCGAACGCCGGGTTCGCTCTAGCGGACCCAGAGCTGACCCCGAGCGAACCCGAAGCGCACCCAAGGCGAACCCAAAATTTCTGAAAGCGGACCCGAGCGAACCCAGAAAGCGAACCCGGGGTCCGCTTTGGGTTCGCTCTGGTGTTAGGTTGTGTCTAGTCGGTACTGTATATAGCTTTATTTAGCTATATAGCTTTATTAAGCTACTCAGAATAGCTTAATTTAGCTATTTTATCACACTTTTTTCTTAAATGTGTAATTTTCTAAGCAGGTACAAAAAGTCGCACCTTGGTGCAGTGATGATATTCAACCTTGAACTCTTCTGAAATTGATGCATGTAAAAATCACTCATTAAATTGTGTCTCCTTGAGAGACTTTGTACTCAAAGTTCTAAGAGTTTTGGGGCTATATAACACAATTGATACAGTTACTTCTTTAATGAAATTATAAAGGAGGCCAATCAGTACAATGAGAAGCAATCATACTTATCCATGCCTCAACGCACACAAGGTAGTGGACAGTTACTCAAACAATAGAAATTTATCTTTTGCTTAAAAGTATTCAAAAGCTGCAAAGATAAAACTATCTTTGATTTTGGTTGTTGTTTTGATAGCCCATAGTACATATATGAATAGTCAAATACATGCGACTTTTTGTCTATTTTATACAAGAAAAAATTTTGTGAAAAACTGCATATAAATAGCTAAATCAAGCTACTTTGAATAGCTTAATAAAGCTATATAGCTATTTCAAGCTATATAGCTAAATAAAGAGATTGTACTGGACCTGATAACATGTTTAAGGCTATCCAAAAATATTTTTTTTTTAAATTACTAGGCCTACCTTTTGATTTGTAAAACCTGTCAAGACACAACACAGCATCTTTCGTAGGGCCTTGCTGTTTTTCAATTTCCTCACAACTAGTATTTTTAATTTTTCGGAGGAATGAAATTCCTTTCTCGAATATCACTGTAAACGGGACAAAACATGGTATTTTGTTCTCGTCTTTTAAGACTTCAAACCCGCATCTAGCGTCTGGAAATGTGACACTTTCTGTCCCATTGCAAGAAATAAGTTTTATAACAGCAAAACGTACATTGTTATCATTAAGGAGTCTGAGACTGTCTCTAAAGATACTTTCGTCCATCTTCGGTCTTGACTATCTTCTCGCGCTCGCTCGAGCTCGAGCCTGGCTAATAGAGAAGAACGAACCCGACTATAATCAAATCAAAGGACAGAAAGTACTGAATCTAGGAGATCCATGTAATATTCAGTCACTAAGCATAGATTTAAAGTGGGAAAGGACGGGGGTGATCCGAAAATAATCGACATGGAAAAAGGATTGACTGATAAAACTTTGAAAACTTTGTCAGGCTAAAAAAATGAACCAAAGAACAACATATTCACCCCCCCCCTCCAAATAATTCAATAAAAAGTTTGTACAACTTATTCGTTTTGTTTTGGCTTTTGTTTTGTTTAATTTTCTTTTGTTTTGTTTGTTTGTTTGCTTTGTTTTATTTTGTTTTGTTTTTTGCTTATCGATTATTTTATAGCTACCCCATTTTTGAAAAAGGTTATTACGGGCCTGTTTATTGATTTTATTTCAAAAACCAAATCCGCGTTACTGGGAATATATAATAAATTTTCGTAAAAAAAGACAATAAATTTACAAACATATAAATTATTCTAATTCCAAGTCTTTAAGTTTTGAAGATGCTTTTGGATACTGCATTTTTATGCAGTGAGAAAGAAATATTGACAAAGTCATTTCCATCATGATAATAAAACAATTTATTACATTTTCAACGGTGAAATACTGTGATTTATTTATTGAATAAAAGTGATATTCTCTCACAGTGTGAAAGGATACCAAAGTAAGTAACAAAATAATTTCTGCCTGTCATAAGATAGAGATAGTAACTAAATCATCTTGATAGAGCTAAAACTTCAAATTTCTTCCCAAATATGTTGCTAAAATCCATGCAATGTAATGTTTTCAATCTCACAACTGCTAAGCTATGACGTCTCAACCGCTCAACTATGACGTCAAGCCTATGACACTGTGTAAAGAAAAGACAGAGGCAAAGGGGAAATAAAAAAAATGTAATAAACAGAAAATTCAATGTTTTGTAGATGAATATGGAATTTGTTTCACTCGTGAAACAGGATTTTTTGATATTTTCACTCGTGCTTCGCACTCGTGAAAATTTCAAAAAATCCTGTCCCACTCGTGAAATAAATTCCATATTCATCTACAAAACATTGAATATCCTCTATGTATAACATACGTGAAAGTTGAAATGTATGCATATATGAGTCCATCAATTATATTTTGTTTTAAAAACTTGAACAGTTTATGATTGATAACTTGACCAGAGACAAACGTTTATATGTGCAAGTGTATTTTTGTGGTTAAAAATGATGGACAATATTCATTGCATTTCATCGCTAGTTGATATAATTGTCTGCTCTATGACTAATGTATAACCTATAAGCTTCAATTCAAACAACAACAGTTTACTGCAGTTTATTTATGCAAAGTTAAAAAGCATTTTCAGTTTAGACTTCTTGATTTCTAAATAGTTTCAGCGCAAGATACATATGTTGACTTAAGGATAAGAGGATCCAGGTGCTTGAACATAACATTGCACATTGGTACATGGCGTATCCACGTCCCTCTCTTCTTTCTATAATCTCTAGGGAGAATGGAGGTGTGTTTGTCCTCTGTATGATATAGTTCTTCATTACTGATGAAACTTTGCCAGAAGATACGCAGTATCTTTCGAAGACCTCTGGTCAACAAGATTTCTTTGTTTTTTGTTTTTTTTTATGTCAGCTTCCATGATTCTGTATCAAACAATGACAGATGAAGTACTAGAACACTGCTCTTAGTGTATGAATAAAATTTGGTACTGCTGAAAGAAGATGGAAACTGCGCAACCCCCCCCCCCCCCCCCCAATAGAATTTTGGAGTTTGGATAATTTCCCCTTCCCTTATTTTTTTATTTTTATTTTTTTTTTGCTTGTGTAGATTTTTAGGTATCAAAGTTGAATTTTTTTTCTCTGGCTGTCCCCTCACCCTTTCAAAAGAGATGCTACGTCCCTATGGCTTCTGATATTCCCACAAGGACGTACGTCTCTGATATTCCCACAAGGACGTACGTCTCTGATATTCCCACAAGGACGTACGTCTCTGATATTCCCACAAGGACGTACGTCTCTGATATTCCCACAAGGACGTACGTCTCTGATATTCCCACAAGGACGTACGTCTCTGATATTCCCACAAGGACGTACGTCTCTGATATTCCCACAAGGACGTACGTCTCTGAGTTACCATCTGCAGAGATCTTCCATCCAAGGTAGAAAAAACACTTGCTCAACAGATAAATACTCTCATTTTTAAAAGAGATTAAAGGGCTAACCTTAAATTTTAATTTATCTGTTACACTAGAACTAGACAAACAATTACTAGTATAACATTTTCAACAGTGCAATGCTATAACTTTTCCAGTGAATGGGAGTGAATGAAAAAAAAACTAAGTGATATATTTTACGGTGAAAAAAAAATGCCTAAAGTGCGGCAAAACTCTCGATTTGTTTGTGTGTGCATTGTGTGCGTTTTTTTGTTTTTTTGTTTTTTGTTTGGTGCATTTAACAAAATACTCCGTATTTAGATAACAAGTGAATATTAACCACCCGTACACGGACTAGAAATTACAAATTTTTCTTCAAATCATTGTTAAAATCTGTTAACAATCTACTAGCTATGACTCTCACAACCGCAAAACTATCACAGCGTACGACACTGCATTACAAAAAGACATCTAGGGTAATTGGAAATCAAAGGAAATGTAATAAACAGAAAATGCAATATTTTTTTTAGTTCAATATGGAATTCACTGCACTTGATTTTCTTTCACATTAGTGAGAAAATCATAAAATCCTGTTTTATTCGTGAAAGGTATCAAACTACGAAACATTGAATATCCTCTGTCTTTTTTCGGTGTGGGCTTTAAAGAATTTTTTACTTGGTCTGATAGCGATTAACAAAAGTCAGTAAAGAGATCTAAATTAAATAAATTTTATTCGTAAGCACTAAATTTAACAAGGGATACGCTTGTATCATATAACAAAAAGGAAGAGAATCTTGCTCTTATAAAAGTGGAAACTACAGTTTTGTATTCATTTTTGGCGTAAAAAATATCACTGCATTATACAGTTTATACTTCATTACATTTAGAATCAGAACAACGACAGATTTTTTTTTTAATTTAAAATGTCACTAATTAGATGAAATCAAATTAAATTAATTTTCTATCGTCAACTTTCTTTATTTATGTAGCAATATACATGTACCATTATCACCTGCATATGAAGTTTAAATATGTCTCTCAGTTGATTTGATACGCAAGAGAACGCTCTACGCGTACGTTTACGAACAATTTCTAAAACGAGGCAAACTACTGACAAACAAGTTGATGAAGAAAGAATATCAACAGTCTCGTTTAAAGTCAACACTTCGCAAATTCTATGGTCGATACTATGACCTTGTCAAAAAATATAATCTATCAATTAGTCGAATGATGACTGACATTTTTCATTAATTACATTGTTAGTCCTTTATTTTCACACTGAATTGTCTAATTTTTCCGTTTGCCCGTTCATGACAAAGAGCACACGGCGGGTGTGATCGGTCGACAGGTGATGCATAGTCCTCCATGGCACCTGGTTCCGCCTCTGATGTTTTTAGAAGTCCCTGTTTGCTACAAATTTGTATTTTTTAATGGACTTTTCAACTTGATTTCTATTCGTTATCTTCATATTTCTTTTCAAATCAATTTTAAGAAAGTAAGGAATGGACGTTTTACGAAATAGGGCATGCACTCATCACAAGTTCATTGCGATTTGTCTCTCTCATTTTGGGCATTTGAGATGCCCCACCTTTCTGTTTATTTATGATGGAAATTAACATAATTTACCACTACTTTCTTAAATAAATGACCCTATTACCCCTACTTTATTGAATGTCAAAAGTGTCTCCAGAGATAGTAAGTTGAATTGTTGGAAATGTTTGTTTTGCAATAAACAAATTTTAAAAAACAGCAAAAAATAATCCCAGGAAATTCGGGTTTAAATATAATTCCAGAATATTTTCTAAATTTGAAGGAATTAATTATTTTCCTTAAGGAAGTGATAAATAAACTTATCTAAAAAGGCTGTCTGGCAATCGGTTTAACATGAGGCCATTCCAAGATTTCTCTTTAGCTTCCGCGTCTGCCTTGGGTTTTGTTCAACACCCCATATCAGGAAAAAACCCACACAACATCAATAGTCCAGAAATTGATTATTTTGATTAAAATCTGGTACAATGTTTCCCTGTTTTGTCGTTAATCTTTCAAATAAGGTATGTACTTAGCATTTAGTACCTTGATTTTCACAGAAATACCCTCTGAATGACTATAAAGTGTTTGTTTATTTATTTTTTTTGGCCTGACCGTGAATAGGTATGTCGGTGTACGCTTAACATAATTAAAAACTTGGAATGCGCTACACTGTTACATGCAACCATAACTGCAACTTCATTTGAACTTTGAATCCTTATGTCAAATAATTATTTATATTCTCCTAATATATCTGTTGGGATATCCTAAACTTTGAGCATGGGTAAAATATTGCAGAATTAAATTGAAAAATTAACCTTCGGTTTTCTACATTAACATATAAGAAACAATCAAGATAATTAGTAAAGAACGTGGTCATTAATTACGTGACACTAATTGCTGAGAGTTTTTATGGTGGATATAATGGATAATAAAGGATGCACACGTGAAATCGGAAATGATATGAGTAATGAACAACTTTTAATAGTTAAAGAGTGACGAAGAAAAAGAAGGCTATTTAAAAAAATGAGATGCTCGAGATAAAGGTGTAAAATATTCATTTGTGTGTAAATCAAATTTTTTACCTGAACAAATAAAGCAGGTAAATGGAAGCACATGTTTGTTATGGGGTTGATACGATACTTATGACATCTGATGTATGAGAGAGGAGGAACCATTAAAATTTAAAGTTTTAATCGATCCTCTTTATCATGTCCCACGTTTAATGATATACATACATCAAAAACAGATAGTGGGATATGATCAAT